CATCCATATTTTACACCCTGATTATCCCCATGTTGAATCCCTTGATCTACAGCTTGAGGAACAAAGATGTAAAACATGCTTTGCATAGGGCTTGGAACAATTGTGCACTATATTTTCTCAAAGTTCATTAAACTGTCTAATTCATTCAAATTGCATAATGAACTTTGAACATTTTTCAGGGTGACTCCAGAGGTAATAATAACAGGCATAAAATCACAGATAGGTTCAACATGCATTCTTTATAACCCTCTGGCAGTCACTCTACTTAAGAACTGAAGTAGTCAATAAAATTGTAAAACATTCTGCCTTCTTTAGTAGAGAGTTACTTTATATGCATAATAATTAAGGGATATTATAGTAAGTTAGAAGTCCTAGTGTGGAGCTCTGGGTTAATGTGCCAGACTGAAAAGACATTTGAACTGCAAGGTCGGCAGTTAAAGCTCACCAGCTGCTTCTCAGAAACCCTATACAGGGTTGCTATGGGTCAGAACCGACTCAACGGGACTTAACAACAGCATAGTAAGTTAGAATATTTGGAGACGGTGATAGATTTTTAAAAAATAAAAATAGGATTGAATATGCATAGATAGACTGTAGGAGAGATAATTAGTAGTGGATGTAATAAGAATTCCAAATAAATTCTGTTTTTTTTAACAATGACAAAAAGATTTGCTGAAATTGTATGTGTGTACCAAGGTGGTTAATTTCACAGCTAGAAGATTCAGTGTGGTAGGATGATTTATGCATCGGTCTTCTGAGTTTATTGATAGGCCTTGTTTCTAATCTTGAAATCTCTCTTATGCATCATCATTACCTTTACTTTTGTATAGGAACCCTAGAGAATCTCTTAACTGTGATATTATTTTTAAGTAGTATATTGTATTGGTAATATAAACATCAGAAATTAAAGTTATTATATTCAACAGAATAAACTCAGCATCTGGTTTTGTCTAAATCATCCCAAATAGTCTGTGTCAGTGAAATATGGCTAAGATAAATTTATTCAGGTTAGCCATAGAAGTTTCTAGGTTTAAACATTTTTGTTGTTGGTTTCTACTGCATGGATATTGTTCTCAATTGCTTATGTTTGCCTCATAGATTGATATCCTTATCCCTCTTGTAAACAATGATTATTTTTATGTTGTTGTTGTTAAGTTCCGTGGAGTCGGTTCCAACTTATGGTGTCCCTGTACAGAGTTTCCAAGGCTGTAAATCTTTATAGGAGCAGAAAGCCTCATCGTTCTCCCTCACAACACCTGGTAGTTTCAAATTGCCGACCTTGAGGTTAGCAGCCCGATTTGTACAATTTTATGTAGAGGACATTGATTAATTGCTTGTATGTCCTTACTTATGAAGTCTACTGTATAATGAGTTCGGTTCATTTCAATGTTTTTTTTTGGCTAAATTTACTGAAATGTGTGATCACTGTGCTTTTTCATGATATCAAATACAGACAATGGCAATAAAACAAAATGAAACAGGAAAGCATGATATGTTGAAAATCTGTATGAATTTTTAGAAATTGAGTGTTATAATACATAAATAAAATAATTTATTAAATTGGGTGTCTCAGGAATGTATCATTTGTTTGACATTAAAAATCAATAAAAGATTTTCACCATAATAATATACCTACATGAAAAATGTCCCAAAACTTGTCATCAAACTTTGACCAAATTAGTGTTAAAGTGAACTACCTCAAACTGCTAGATGACACCCATGAAGAATCTACATATGTGATAGTGAAAGCTCAAATAAAATCTCAGTATAATAGGGAACCTAACAAATAAATTTACTCTTACTGAAACTATTCAACAGTTTGGTGGATGTTATAACCAACACAGTAAGGGTGTTGTTGTTGTTAAGTGCCATCAAGTCAATTGTGACCCATAGCGACGCTGTATAAGGTTTCAGAGGGGCAATTGGTGAGCTTGAACCACAGACTTTGCAGTTCAAATAGCTTTACATTGTGGCACATTAACCCACAGTGCCATACCAGGACACCACAATAAGAGTAGAAACAATAAATACAAAGCATCTGATTGGGAAAAAAAGGAGTGAAACATTTTTTTTTTTTTCCCATAGATGACATGATTATTTATTTAAAAACTGTAATATACTTTATACTAGAGTTATATCGTTACATATTTTGAGAATTTATTTCATTTTGTGTTTTCCTGTCAGTTGAACTGTAAGTGGAGTTTCTTGGCCTCTATAGATGGACTTGAGGATTTCTTAGCTTCACTACCAAAAGAAAAGTCCATGAAAATTTTAACCATATCAAATTTCAACACTTCTGCTTTGAAAAATACAATTGTATAAAAATAAGGTATATTCTGGGAGGTGATATTTTCAAATGATAAAGCTAATAAATTATTTCTGTTCATAACACATATAAAGAGATCACAAACCAAAAAGAGAAAAAAAATCCTTAAAAATGAAAAACTCATCTGAAGAACTTATACAGATGGCACTTAAGCAAACCACATGTTCATAATCATTCATTAATGAATTTCAAGTTAAAACATTAATGACATACTTCTATATGTCTGTTGCACTTTCTAGTGGTTAATAAATATATGGAGGAACTGAAACATTCATAAACTACTAGAAAAGGAATTCAAATTATGTAAATACTTTAATACTAATTTGTTATAAGCATCAGAGTCTCAAAAAGTCAAACATAATCAAAATGTTTATACACAAGTGGGATAATGTGTCAGAAAGAAATAGATGAATCTACAATAATAATGCATGATTTTAATATACTGCTTTCAAAACTGTATAGAACAACCAGAAAGAAATTTGACAAAGACACAGAAGAAATAAACAACACAATCAACCAAGGGAACCTCATAAATGTGTACAGAGCAATCAACCCAACCACTGCACAATACACATTGCAGTGCACATGGAACATTCTCCAGAATAGACCATTTCTTAGTACATAAAATGTATCTCCATACATTTATGAATATCAAAATACTACAAAACATCTTCTCAGACCACAAAGCTTTCAAATTTGAAATCAACAATAGCAAGACCAAGAAAATAAAGTCAAATATGTGGAAACTGAATAACACTCTGCTGAAAAGCCACTGGGTAGTAGAAGAAATTAAACATGAATTCACAAAGTTCCTAGAAACTAATGAGAAAGAAAACACAACATACCACAATCTTTGGGACATGGAGAACGTTGTGCTGAGAGGACAATTTATTGCAATAAACACACACATCCAAAAGAAGAAAGAACCAAATTAACACATTAACATAGCATCTACAACAATGAGAAACA